AATTCAACAGATTATGATGCTCAAACTCTCCATATTCGTTTGTATGCTCTTTGGTGTTCAAAAGGCGCAGAAACTTCCGAGAAATTTACTATGCAACTCTTGTTTAAGGAAATGCAAGAGACTACGCCTCACATGTCTGAGATTAAGCTTAATTTTAGTTGTGTAAACCAACTGTAGCCGTATCACTCATCTTACACGCCATGCCTATATAGCTTATCGTTGACAGTGAAACTTTGTGGTGACCAATTGTTCGTGCTACATGACAATAATTTTTGTCAAGTTACTCAGTTATTTCAACTGAGATTATCTGTCAAAAAGTATTTAAAAAAGTGGTATTTTACAGAGAGTGACTTTCGCAAAATAGATGCTGAAAAAGATTTTCAGTTTCTTTTTTCAGTCAATTTTCAAGATAAAAGTTTTTGGCAATTACCAGGTCAGCCAGTTTCATCCGTACAAGACTTATGTTATTTTACATATTTCATCATCATGGACAAACATGCTGAAATGTACAATACATTCATCCATCAATATAAAATTATCAAACAGTTGAGATTTGATCAAACAATGCCATCTAATCAGAACGCATTTTGTACCTTTTTTGAGCATTGTATAGTCTTTCTTCCAGCTATTCAGTCAATTATAAAAACTGGCAGTAAATGGACCGGTGAAATCTTACTGTGTATGATTGAAGCACTTGATATCAATGCACAAAATATTTCAGTACAGCATAAAAGTGTAAAACAATTAACCGATTGTATTTTAAGAACAGTTATCGATAGCATAGACTCCATTTTTGATTCGACTAATGATTTAAAGTTTTATGAAATAAAAGGAGGCCTATCAAAATTGTTGATGATAAGTCTGTTAACTGATTCGTTTGATGCAAATTTATTTCTAAAGAAGATATCGAATAAAATTAAACAGAAAGAAGTTGCAGATGAAGTTCTACGATTATTAATGAATATAAATCGTCGAATTCAAACTAAGAATTGGTGTAATATATTTCATTATACAAGCAGTGACATGTTGACTACAGACTATATTCGATTAACAACGTCATTAATTGATTATATAACTTGTGCAGAAATGATCATAAAAAATGTAGAAAAAGACAACGTATCTATTGAAAATAAATTATTTATAAAAAATGAACTATTTTCAACGTATCCCTCGCAAGGTAATTGATTCATACATAGAAGACTAGAAAGTTTTGCAGAGAACTAGACATGTTCTACTAGAATCAAACATAGGCTATTTTTGTTACAGATGAGCCAATTTCGATGGTTTGTGTGGTTTAAAAGGCTGTCTTCCATTTAGCTAACTCTCCAAAACTTTAAAACAATTAGAAGTAGATTTTCTGGTATGATTTTTGATCCGCCGTCCTAGAATAAAAATCTTTTACTGAAATCCTTAGCCTTCCAAAATATTTTTCAAACCCCGTTTTTCGATTCTTGAATTAAATATTAAAAAAATTCAATCTTTTTACGATTTTCCTAGATATAGGGCAAATATTTTTGCTAAAAGTCATTCGAGAAAATGGGAAAAATATAGAAGTTTGGCAGATCATAAAACTAGGCTTATCACGAGGTGTTCTAAAAATACTGTGCAAATAGGTTTTTCCTTGATTCTCATCGTACTTATGTCCTTTAACAATACTGTACTTAAAAAAAAACGAAAAACTAAAGGAAAATGTGTTACCAGTTGAACCTGGGGATATTCATAATAGTCGAAGTTTCAGAGATGTCCGTTTTTTGTAAAACTACTAAATTTGAAAGTAAGCGGCACTGTAGGCAAGCGATAGACATACATAGCTTTCTTGCTAGAATTTCTGAATTGTGTGGTTTCTGAATTTTTGAATTTCTGAATTTTCGGATTTCTGTAGTTTTGCATAAAAGACTTTCTGAATTTCGGAACTTCTTAAGTGTAGCATATAAGAATTTCTGAATTTTTGAATTTATAAAATTTACTAACCTTGGAATTTAGGAACTTCTGAATTTTGGAATTTACAGAATTTACTAACCTTGGAATTTAGGAACTTCTGAGTTTTGGAATTTATAGACTTTACGAACTTTGGGATTTATGAACTTCTGAATTTTGCAATTTATAGAATTTACGAACTTTGGAATTTACGAACTTTGGAATTTACGAACTTTAGAACTTTAAAACTTTGGAATTTATAGAATTTATGTACTTCTGAATTTTGAAATTTATAGAATTTAGGAATTCCAAAGTTCGTAAATTCCATAAATTCCAAAATTCAGAAGTTCATAAATTCCAAAGTTCTAAAGTTCATAAATTCCAAAGTTCACAAATTCCGTAAGTTCCGAAATTCTGAAATAGTGTGGTTGTAAGATTGATACGGAGTACATTGACTCGGTGGTGCTGCTGCGGAATTCTCAAATTTAGAATCATAAATTCCAAATTTCGTAAATTCTAGAAATTCAAAAAATTCAGAAGTTCCTAAATTCCAAAGTTCTAAAGTTCATAAATTCCAAAGTTCGCAAATTCTGTAAATTCCGTAAGTTCCGAAATTCTGAATTAGTGTGATTGTAAGATTGATACGGAGTACATTGACTCGGTGGTGCTGCTGCGGAATTCTCAAATTTAGAATCATAAATTCCAAATTTCGTAAATTCTAGAAATTCAAAAAATTCAGAAGTTCCTAAATTCCAAAGTTCTAAAGTTCATAAATTCCAAAGTTCGCAAATTCTGTAAATTCCGTAAGTTCCGAAATTCTGAATTAGTGTGATTGTAAGATTGATACGGAGTACATTGACTCGGTGGTGCTGCTGCGGAATTCTCAAATTTAGAATTTTCGCTGTAGACGGACATCCCTCACCCCCATGACTCACATTAATACTTATATATGTACGTACACGATTACTTCTGCATCATACGTTAGTGCCAGGTGAATGAAATAGCTAAGAAGAATAACGATTACTTGAATACTCATAAATTAATTGACTATTCTTTGAATTACTCACGACTGTTCGTCCCCCGTGAGATATTGGAGAAATACATGGGGTCTGATAGAGCTTGTTAGAGTTGTTTGTTGGGAAGGAAATTGTAAAACACGTTTCTAGTTAATATATTCCTTCAATGTATCAGTATCTGAGACAAATACCACACTCTTCTTTGTCGTTTTTCGGATTGAAGTGTATAAGTTAAAGAAGCAAAGATACTGTTGAATGTATACTTATAAAAGTTGTAACTATAAAGTCTTCCTGGCACTGTAATGCCTAATCATCAATACACATGGCCTTTGGGCGTTCTGCAAGGTTTTCAAAGCTCTGGTGTGTTTCAAAATTTTCGGAGCAAAACCCTGTCGCACAAAATTTGCTTTTGTTTTTTCGTATGTTTCACCAGCACCAAGTTCAAACTGTGTGTGTTTGGCTCTTCCCGGAAAATCGACGTAATTCGGCCGAAATACAACCGTTTACGCCAATTTTTTTTTGTTTGAAATCTCATGAGTTGTACTACGAGAAGCCATGCTTAGGTCAAACAAAAATTACATTTTTTCCTCCAGGTTCAAACGTCAAGACGAAAACCATCATTTTTCGACCTGGCAAGCAAAAAATAGATTTTACTTCACTGGTTTTGAGCGGAACGTCGTTTCGTCTATACGATCAGAAAGCGCACTGCTTTTTGTACAGTAAATCATAATTTCATATTTTTTCAGATGAGCTTTAACCAAAATTTGATACTTTCGGAGGTGCTATTTATTACAGATTGGTTCTACAACCCAAAGTTAAATATCTCAAGGATAGAGCATCAAATGTGAGGTAAACGAGCAGATATTTTTGTACAAAACGCACGGCCAAGTAATAGTTGAGCATCGAAAATGACAGAAGGGCGCGAACTTTCCTCACCTGAACAAGAAATTACTCTTTTTCCTGTACAGAATCCAACTCGACGCTCTTCGGGTGGCGTTACGGGCCGCCACACGATCGAAACCGATATAAAGGAATGTATTGTGCTTGACTAATCCACTTTCTTTTAAGTGAATTGGAATCGGTACTATATTTGGTAGCAGACTCGAGTCCCCTGATTACGTCTGTCACGATCTGTGGAGAAGGTCCAACGTTCTCTCTAATAATTTATATCTACTAAATTTATGTTTTCAGCAAATTTTTTTGTTTATCTGTGTAGCAAATAATCAATTTTTAAGTAAGTAGAAAGGAAACAATTTTTTCGTCAGGGCAGTCTGTGCGGCTCTGTGTGCCTTATATCACCTCCTCGCACAAGCTGACATCGGTTTAAATACTGAAATCAATGTTATTGAGCTGCAAAGATGATGATGCCGTGCTTGGCCCTAATATGTATTATTTGTAAGGTTATTTAATTGAACAATAACCAAATGACCTGATTATCATTGATATTGAACATGATGCGTGACATTTCTCTTTTGTTTTTTTAAGTCATTTTATATTTTCCAAGGAAATAAAACAATCTTCCATATTTAGATCGATATAACCGTTGTTTGATAAGCAACAACTGAATAACATTCAATAATTTATAAGGCACTTTATACAAAAAAAATCGTGATTTCTTCTACATTTTTGGCAGAAAATACATTCTTTTTTTATACCTATTTCCACATATTTGTGCTATCATCCTACATTTATGCTTTCTCTTGTCAAATATTTACTCTATGACAACTTTAGACTAATGATAGAATGATTGTGCTATAAGAACCATAAATATATAGAGGATATCAAAAATGATGAATTTTTTCTGCTTGGGTATTGCTGTGAAATGGCAAACAAGGAAAAGATATTTCTTCATCATCTTCAGTTCGATGCAGGACTATTTCCCTTATTAAATTAGACAAATACAAAGGACAGAAAAAATTATTAATAGATCATGAAGAGAAAAGCCACGACAAGCTGAACGAGTCGTCTTTATGCACGTGATTGACACAAAACCAAACGTGAAACTGAACGACCACAATAGATCATTGCAAACAGTGTAGTCGAAGTGTTTTATTTGATTTTTTATTATTAAAATAAAAGATTTGGTATGAAAAGAAGAATAATACTTCGTGCTTTTTCAACTGATATATTAGCAGCTGTTGCAAACATTCTGGTAACAAACGACTGACAGTTCATTTTACCACCCATTGGGATTAATGCTCGATATTCGCAATCTTCGAACGACTTTGCGTAATTTCTTAATCCTTCTGGATCAGAGTATGGTAGGTCTTTTTGGATAAGATACCATGAGAATGCCTTACAATCACGTTCGTACCATGAACTCTTTTCGCTTTTTGAACTTACACGAATTTTAATATCATGATCTTTATCCAAACCTAATTGATAAATTATTCCATTGATCTGAATACACCAATGAGATCCATCGATACCAGGACTGATATTAAGACCAAGAGGTTGTTTACCAACAGGTCGTCTTCCGATCCAAGCACCTACATCAAGATCATTCGTTACACTTGCAATGCCGTGTGCAAGATTTTTTGGTACTCTTAATGGATTTAAATCTGCTAAGTCCAGTATAACGGAGTGCTTTGCTTCGTGCATGTCACCTTTTGCTGCATAAACAACACCTCGTACAGCACCATACGCATGGCCGACAACTGGAACAGCTTTTATTATATTAAAAGCTTTTCTTTCGGCCATATTTCGATAAAATCTAAAAGATTTAAACGATCATTTGTATTGCCTTTAAGATAGTGTCAACGATCCTATTGTTGCTATAGACATGATTTACTAGCTGTTTCATTAACTCTTAATGGCAATCAAATATAGGTCCGAAAATTCAACAGTTGACCAATGCAAACTATCTATTTTTAATCTAGACAAGATTCGGATCCATTAGCGACTAATTTATTCTAAAGAGTAGATTCTAAGAATATGATATTTTCCTACTTTTTTCTCAGGTATGATATACCTCTACAATACCCTGTTATTCTATATTTTATTATGTTCTTCTTATATTTTTCTTTCTAATTGACTTTCAAAAAATCACTGATGTTGATGTCTTTTGAATAACGACGAAACGTCTACAGAAAATTGTCTGTTTTCATGGTGGTTTATCTCTTACTTTCTATATTGAAACTCTTCACCTTAAAAAATGACTCAATAAAGCAAATATATAACGAGGACAAAGAAAATGGAAACAAAAAGAACATACAAGCATTGATAAAGAGAGAAGACAACGAAAGTTTTTGAAAAAACTTCCCGATAGCATAGTGATATTACTAACTGCTTTGTTCAGTAAGTGAAGAAATCAGCTGCTAATAGCACTGGAAATTTGGACAACATGCTGGAACGAAAAATGGGCGGGGGGATTGAGGGTATCTTTTGTGACGTCACCAGCACTTACCTTGACAGTCATATAGACGGCTGATATTCATACTCATTTAAACAAAAATCCGTTACTAGGGGAATGTGGATGAATTGTATGAGGCGGTCAAATGCCTAGCAGAGGTGGATGATAGACTGTTTTTAGCTCCCCCGCGGTTCGCCTCGTGCAGTTCTTGCCTCGTCATCGCCCCGTACGTCGTCAAGCTTTCAAAACATCTTCCCCGCCGGGACCGCCCCGTGCATCGCCAACTATTGACAAAGTTTTTCGTCAGCACTTCTTCATCGATTCTCCTGCGTCCGGTGCATTAAACATTAAGATGTTAATAATAACAAATTGTCCATGACCAACCATAGTTATGGATTTCTCAACGAAAAACCATGAAGTTCTTGCGGAGAGACGGCGATTTCTTTAAAATTTCTCCTGGAGAAACCCCAGTTTCCACGACAAAAAACATGCAGTTCTTGTGGGGAGCACCGATTTTATCAGGAAAATACACGAAGTTCTTGCCGAGAAACGGCGATTTCTTTAAAAAGTACTTGTTCTGGACAAAGCCCGATTTCTTCAGAAAAAGACAATGGAGTTTTTGCGAAGAAACCGCGATTTCTGCAAAACATGAAAAACATAAAGTTTTCCTTTAGAAACCCCGATTTTCTCGGCAAAAAACATGAAGTTCCTGTGGAGGAACACCGATTTCTCCACGGAATAATCGGGGATTCCTGCGGAGGAACACCGATTTTATCAAGAAAAAACATGTACTTGTTCTGGAGAAAGCCCCATTTCTTCAGGAAAAGAAAAATCCCGGTTTCCTCGGCAAAAAACATGCAGTTCTTCTGGAGAAACACCGATTTCTTGGGGAAAACACAACGAAGTACTTGCGGAGAAACCGGGCCTTCTTCACGAAAAAACCTGAAGCTTTTGTGGAGAAACCCCGATTTGTTCGGCAAAATCGATGAAGTTCTTGTGAAGGATCACGGATTTCTCAACTAAAAAACATGAAGTTCTTGCGGAGAGACGGCGATTTCTTCGGGAAAACACAACGAAAGTCTTGCGGAGAAACCGGAGTCTCTTCACGAAAATACATGAAGTTGTTGTGGAGGAACACCGATTTCTTGACGAAAAAGCCTGAAGTTCCTGTGGAGAAACACCGATTTCTTCAGCAAAAAAAGCTGAAGTAATTCTGGAGAAAAACTGATTCCTACAGGAAAAACATGAAGTTCTCCTTTAGAAACCCCGATTTCCTCGGCAAAAAACATGCAGTTCTTGTGGAGAAACACCGATTTCTTCGGGAAAACACAACGAAATTCTTGCGGAGAAACCGGGGTTTCTTCACGGAAAAACATGAAGCTCTTGTGCACGAACACCAATTTTATCAGGAAAATACTTGAAGTTGTTGTGAAGGATCACCGATTTCTTGAGGAAAAAGCCTGAAGTTCTCGTGGAGAAACCTCGGTTTCTTCGGCAAAAAGAGCTGAAGTAATTCTGCGGAAACACTGATTTCTAGAGGAGAAAATATGAAGTTCTCCTTTAGAAACCCCGATATCCTTGGCAAGCAGGAACACCGATTTCTCCGCGGAACAATCGGAGGTTCTTGCGGAGGAACACCGATTTTATCAAAAAAATACATGTAGTTGTTCTGGAGAAAGCTCGATTTCTTCAGGAAAAGACAACGTAGTTGTTGCGTAGAAGCCGGGATTTCTTCACGAAAAAACATGAAGTTCTTGTGGAGAAACCCCGTTTTATTCAGCAAAAACGATGAAGTTCTTGTGGAGGACCACGGATTTCTCAACGAAACAACATGAAGTTCTTGTGCACGAAGAGGGATTTCTCAAGGAAAAAATATGAAGTTCTTGTGGAGAAACCCCGATTTCTTCATGAAGAAAACATGAAGTTGTTCTGGAGAAAGCCGGGTTTCTTCAGGAAAATACAGGAAGTTCTGGCGGAGAAACCCCGATTTCTTCATGAAGAAAACATGTAGTTGTTGTGGAGAATCACCGATGTTTCTTGAGATCAAGGTCCAAAGAAGACCGTGAAGTATTTCGCAAGATTTTTTAATATACTTCAAGCTGGAGAGTTCAGGTTTGTTTTGTTTTATGCTAGAAACCTACTACATGAACTGACCGGCACTGATTTTTCAATTAAGCCTTCAATGAACAACTTCCTAATCCCGAAAGATCCTTAAGTTGACAAAAAACTAAGACCGAGTTCAAAATCGGCGCCGGTCAGTCCATGTAGTTTGTTGTCCTCTTGTAAACAAAAAGAGAATCAACTCTCTTCGACAAACAGCTGTTAAAAATTCTGGGAAATACTTCAGGTGTAACTCTTATATAGAGAAAACGGGATATTAAACGCTGTATGAAATACTCAATTTTAGGACTTCTAGGAAGATGCTTGTAACTGATGCTAGGTCACAAAGAGTTGTGCGAGGCCGTGTTTTGATCAGAAAAGTTTGCTGTATAAATCTGTGTACTCAGAAAAGTTTTAATTGCAGAAGTGTTCACAAGAAAACTATTGTTCGAAGACTCGGTTTTTTGAGGCTCCTAGAAAACTTGCTCAAAATCGCGAAAAACTACTTTTGTAACGAAAAGCGATACAGATTCTGAAAGAAGACACTTTATTCTCTCTTTCCATGTAGATATCTCAAAACTGATTTTTCTTTTGAGAGGGGCCCTTAAAGCAATTGACATACTGATTTCATGACGTTTTATCCGGTTTTCTCTTCGGAAACACAATGTTTAATTCTGCTTTGGAAAAGTTAAAAAGCAGATATAAACTGCAAAATATTTGAATATAAAAATGGTTTTTACACCACTTTCAGAAATAAGTGCCTTGTTTACAGTCTCTTTTTTCCTTAGATGACAGTTTTGTTTATTTACTACTTATAAACACTCTTTCATTAACTAAAAATAGCGTTAAAATCAACAGTTGCTTGGATAAGCAGGTTAGGATCGCTCGCACCATCTATTTACATGAATACTATATCTATGCGTAGGAAAACGTGTTTTCTTTGTGGACTTTAGACATAGAATAATATAAGTTCACAAAGTGACTATCAAGCGACAATAGAGAAACATCCGAATAATATTACCTTGAAAACAATCCAAGTAGTTGCAATTTTACTTGACAAGCGCTAGAAGAAGTGCTTGTCAAGTGAAAAATCAAGTACTTGCACGCTACACAAGTATCTACAAGTAAATTGACTTCTGGAAAAAAGACAAGTACCGGCTTCATTACACAAGCGGAGTACTTCTCCCAAGTACTTGGGCACAAGTACGTTCTCTAAGGAAAGCCCTTGTTTTATATAAAAATACAAGTAAAAAGGGGATGACAGAAAATGACGACGAATAGAATAAAAAAATTCACACGTATAAATTCAGTTCAAATATCTTCTTCAGTGTACGTATGTAAAAAAATATGATAAAAACGTGCAGCTTATATAGCGAGAAAGAACATGTTAAAAAAAGAACCAATGAAAATTCGGATACCTATGAACAAAAAGATTTGGACAGGAGCGGATGAGAAGTCTTATTGGAGATGAAAAATTAAATAGGATTTTCTCGGAAATGGAGAAGGGTTTCTGAGAAAACTTCTCAGAAAACAAATAGAGCTTTTTAGAATACATGTTAGCCTTTTCGTAAGTCCGGAAACTGGAAAGGTTTACAAGAAAACTTTCCAGAAACGTAAAGCGCATATTCAGATACCATTTCGATTCTCGAATATATTTTATATACTAACACTGATGTACTGCTGCAGAATTTCCAGCAGTGAAACTTCCATGTGTGGTAAGTAATTAACTTTGTATGATATTGTGCACTACGCAAAAAATTGAGTGGAAACCTATTGTTTAATATTCATTTCTCTAAACTTTGTTTGATTTTTTTCATTTAGGTCTTACAAGAAATATCACTGATGTCTCAAACCAGATGAATTTGGAATTTTATTTGCTGACTTGATTGTTAAATTAAAAGATATGAAATCTGGTTTAGTTTATAGTGAATTAGGTACTTGTGCTCTGTAGAACAAACTGAACGTCCAAACATTTTTTCTATGTTTTTAGATCCGGTTGCTATTAAACTTTTGTCAATAGTTACATCAGCATTTCGAGAATCAAAACAGTATATAATTCCAGATAGTCGAGTAAGAGGAGAAGCGATTCGCGCATGAAGTTATATACTAAACATTAACTATATTTATTTCAGGATCCAAAATGGCCATGGCCATCAATATTGACATGTAAAGATGCTGTTGAATATCACAAAGTTGGACTAGATGGGATACATTTAATTGCTAGACCAAATGCTGTTGAAGCTGTTATTCTTTGGGTATCTCTTTATCATATTTTTAACATTGAATTTCATAAATCAACCAGAAAAACCAATCAATTTTTTGATTATATTTTATATCGAAAAACATGTATTGATATGGAAGCAGCGGTCAAAACACTAATGAAAAAATTGAAAATTGTGTAAAGAACAAGATTGTATGTTTATTCTGAATTTTTTTCTTTCTATCTGTTGAAAATCCTATAGGATTGTTTTCATACCCTACTTTTTTCTCTTTCTTTTCTCCATATTTTTTAACTGATAATTATGAAAAGAAGGCGAAAATGAGCCTTTCCACATTTTTTTAAATCTTTGCTTTTAGCACTCAATGCACCAGATTGTGGTTTCACTTTCTTCTACAGCTTTTTTAGAGCTTTCAACGACGCATCTTTTGAAAAACAAATCAAGATTTTATCGTTTTCTCAAACTGAGATACATGCAAAACAAAAGAGTCTTCCAAACATTTTTTTATTACGCACAGTATCGTGAGAAGTAGTACTATCATATAGGTTTTCCATTTTGAGTGTGGCAGAAACCATTAACAGAAGTCAATAGGGATTTGTTATTACAAATTTTTTAGAGCTTTTCATGGCGCATCTTTTAAAAAAAATTCAAGATTTTATTATCTACCTAAGCCCAGATACATTGGTTTGTATCACTGTGTTATTTGACAAGATTCTTTTCATAGCTATTAATTTCATACTTTCAATTAGCAGATCGCGCGGCATACTTGTATACAATGTTGAAGAATCGCACGTTTTAATATTTCTAGCTGATATTTTCTCATTAATCTCTTCAATTAGTTTACTACATGAGTTTTTTGAAAATCGATTTTCAGAAACAATTTCCCAGAAATTAAATAGTTTGCGAGCACATATGAGAGAACCTTCAGAATAACGCGTCTGTAATATTTAACTTTAAAATAAGTGATGAAAACAATAGCTGTCGTTAGCATCGTCTTATTTATTCTGACTCAAAAAGGCGTGAAATTTTAGTTTTTTGAAAAACGGGATAAAAAGGGCAGATATTTTGAAAAGTTTCAGCCGCTGAAATACCGGTTTCTATCGGCTCGGTTGACTTTTTCAACCAGTCCGGTCCTGTTCGGTACCGGTCCGGTTGGATCGGTTCCAGCTCTTATATGTGAAAGCGGTACGAAAGTAAAAAAGTTGATGACATAATATATGGATGCTGCTGAATGATATAGAAAAAAAAGATTCACCATTTTTGAATTGTTTTGAAAAACATATGGTAGATATTCATCAGTTAATTCAACCTATACATTGGACAATAACACGAGAATTATTAGCATGGTTAAGTGGATTTTTAGAGTTATCAACAGTCACAACAGTAAAACATTTTATTCTTATACAACATATGATAGCTAATTTTAATTGTCACTATATATGTAATCTTGTTATTGATCATTATAAACAAGACGAACAAGAATCTACTATTAAATATTGTAAAGATAAATTTATATGTGCTAGTTCATTTGATTTTGTACTAATGTTAAAATTAAATCATCAAGAAAATTCATCATTGATTCAACAATATCATGATAGGAAAAAAATTAGTTTTGACGATATAATCATAGACATTCTTGAAAATAAAAATAAGAATAAATATGGACAAATTATTTATACCTATACACAAATATATGAGACAATTCATTATCCTAATATATTAGACAATAATATTGGCGAAGTAAAATTGGCCAATTTTAAATCACAATTAGAATTGATTAACAAGGTTAAACAATATTACCAACCATCAATGCAAAAATCATTATTAATTATTTGTATTGATTATGATAAAGAAAAAAATCATTTATTATTACTTAAACGT